TTTGTGTTAGTGTCATGTGACGTGACATGTTTATTGGACTCACAGCGCTGATACTCGCATGCGAGGCCGTGTTCGTAATCACGGGGTGGAAAGTAGCTAAAGGCTGATAAATGCCGTCATCAGCTGATTTACTGAAAAAAACATGAATATAGGACTGGGATCAGGGACGCAGGATTTTTAAAAAAGCCAGGTGGTCCCTCTTTTTATAGGAGCTGAGGTCACAGCGTCCGTTATTTCCCAATAGAAGGTCAAATTAGAGTCATTGGAGCACAGGAACCATCTCCACCAGATCACATTTATATATGTTTTCTCTCTCTGTGGTTTTTGGAGGTGATTTTGAGTCCAAACTCTTTACAGTCTCCCACTGAGTGTCAAACCTCTTCCTGTCTTTCCCTCTGAGAGACGCGTACAGGGATGTAGGGATAGGGATGTCCTGATCTGATATTGATCTCAGATATCAGCAAAAAAAACAAATATCAGATTATACCAGCCTGCATCCAAAATCTCTGATACAAGCAGTCCATTCCAGACTCTGCTCCAGTGCCCAGATCCAGCATGCAGAGCCCAGTTGATCACAACAACACTGTGTACTAAGGTACTAACATGGAGGAAAGGAGCAGGAGTGATGTCGGCCATATTGCAGCCTTTTTCATCTAATTCTGAATAAAAAGACATTACAGCTAAAGTGTCATTAAACTTGTCATGCACAAGTTTGTGCCAATAACAGATAAATATCAGTATCTGCCAATACTGAAGGCTACAATATCGGTATCATATCTGGTGTGTCCCAAAACAACTTTTTGTCAACTCTGATACAATACCGATATTAATCCAATACCCGTTTTCTGCTGATATTGGACAGATATCAATAATCAGTGTTTGTTTGGGACATACCTACAGGGATTTCAGGTGTTTTCATCGACATCCTGCTGTACTTTGATTCATCCTATCTCATCAGGTGTTCCGGTTTGCGGTATCTCCGTGTCTGTTTTCTTCGATTTTGATAGATGTCTCCTCATGTGTCTCATCTCTCCCTTCTTATTGTCTCTCGAACAAAAAAAACCTCAAAGTTTTACTCCTCGGCGAATATTAGAGAAGGTCACATGATCGTGTTTATCCAATCAGAAAACAGCTGACGGTGCATTTTGTGCCGAGGACAACAAACAAAAGACAGAAAACAAACATACAGCATCTGTGTGTGTGTGCAGATATGTGTGTGTGTGTGTCCACATTGTCCGCACACACACACACACACACACACACACACACACACACACATACACTCCTATTCTCTGCATCCCACCATTGTCCTGCTGCACTTAGTTCATACACAATGTAAACACATGAACACACGTGTAAAACGTGCTGCACTCTCTTAAACACACAACTGATAGGAATCTATAGAGAGTGTGTGTTGGTATGTGTGTGTGTGTGTAAGTGTGTGTGAGTGTGTGTGTGTTCTGGATGGAGGGCAGTTTCTGGGAATTGTGCTGCTGCCTCAGTGGGGAGATGCTGAGAGCAGCAGGAGGGTGGAGTGTGTGCGTGTGCGTGCGTGCGTGCTCATTGTTTTCACTTGGTAAAGATTAGAGCGCCTTTTCAACACTCACACACACACGTTCACACACACACACACACTAACACAAAGCCATGCATACACCCCAGTCTGACCTATATCCAAGTTTGCATGCAAACACACACACTATTCCCCATATACACACGCACACAAACACACACACACGCACAGTCTGTGTCCGAATAATGAGGGCAGGCATGCTGAAAGGAGGACAAAGCCTGTTACTTCATGACTGTGTTGATGGAAAGTGACACAGACTCATTTACCTTATAAAACCTCTGCTGACCTGCTGGATGTCAACCTGTTACCCAGCGGGTCGAACTTGACCACGGTGACCAGAGCAATTACCGCGGCGCTCGAGGAAAACTACACTTGAGCTCTCACGCTGAAAGTTCACGGCTGAGTTTGGAAACAGGGTTAAAGAAATATTAAAGGAAACGTCCACGGATAAACACGACGACGGCGCCGCCAAAGACTTCACTTTCAATGAGCTTCTGTATTCCTGATTCTGAAGACCGAGCATTGGGGTCATCGAGAGACAAAAGACCAAAAACTAGACCGCCAAAAATCAGAAAACATCTCCATGAGGAACTTTCTGATTCTTGTCTTGGTATCTGAAATAGCTGAGACAGAGATATCAGTTTATAGATGTCCGAACATGGCTGAATCTGCTGTCAATACTTTGATCAAAGCCCTTAAAAAAAGGACCGTTTTACCCCCAATTTCCTCCGCAGGAAATTGGCCATATCCACTGCTCACAGCTGATCGTAACCGTTCAAGTTATAGTAGTAATATTAGTAATAGTATAGTAGTAGTAGTAAAATCATCTACTCGCTTAATTCGCGCAAATCTAGATGCGTGAATGAATAGTATTTACTCGCTTCATTCGCACGTCAGCGGTAATTTCAACGGTAATCCCTGCCAACGTTGACTCCCACATTGACTCTCAATAAAAACACATGAAATAAAAAAATCTGCATGAAATTTTAAATGCTCCTTAAAGGGATGATTTAATTGGAGAACTTTTTTTGCACTTTTTGTATTATAAACGCATTAAAGTGGAATATGTGCAAAATCGTATCCTCTGAAGGGGAACTAATTCTTTTCTGTTTAAGGCTTTTTTTTTACTAAACTGGTAAAAATCTGTTTCCTGTCGCATGTTCAGCATGTTCTGTCTGTCAAAGAGCCGCTGAGTTTAACTTTTGAATAAAGTAATTCAGACAGTCGCTTTACTTTACGTCCAATTTTCTTTATTATGAAATGATTTGTTCTTATGAATGACGACAGTGTGTGTGTGTGTATGTGTGTGTGAGCGTGTGCGTGCGGTTTCCTCTCGACCAGGTCACAGCAGGACCGAAGTCCGCTGGCCTGCTGCTGGGCTTTGGGTGTGTGTCTGCCCTGATGTATGTGTGTGTGTGTGTGTGTGCGTTTTTATGAGTGTTTTATGTGTGTGTGTGGGAAGGCATTGAAAGACCCACTCCCACACGTTTCCCCTCTCACACCCCTTCGTAGTCTATATGTGCACACACACATGCACACACACACACACACACAGAACAATCAGGAGGATATTTGCGTGCAGACACGAGTTTGAAGTTTGATGTTTTTGCATTTTTGGAGTTAAGAATTCCGGATTTTGCAAAATTTTGAAAAATTTCACACACTTTATAGAGAGTCACTCAGTATGTTTGCATGCACAGCTTCTTATCTTTTCTGCAAACTCTACACTTCAATGAGATGCACGTTACTTCTTTGATTTATGGTGATATACGCTACAAAGGCGTGAGTGTAAATTACTGTAAATTCAACGTTTGGTTTGCTTTGGGGATTTGCTCTCAGATGCTCAGACGCTCTCTCGTTTGCTCTCACTCTTGATGAGTGTGTTTGTGTCTTCTTATGTCATGCATTGTTTTACTGAGTGTGTGTGTTTGTGTTTGTGTGTCGCCCCTCTGGGATTGGAGTCAGAAGAATAGCAGCGGCTCGGCAGCGGTGTGAAACTGAGAAAGCGTTTGCTCCCTGCGTCTTCTTCCTGTCTCTCAAATCCCTGCACATCCATCTCTGCTTCCTCTCTGTGGGACTCCTGGGAGTTTGAAAAGTCTGCACATCTGTGCGTCTGACAGCCCGTTCCACTGACAACCTGTTTGTTTGTTTTTTTCATTTAAAAGCCAGAATCGCCGACTGATTCATGAATAATGACACAACTTAACATCCCAGTAGAGGCGTCGGTATCCGCGCTAAAGAAGACGCCTTCTGAAGACAAACTTTTAGAGGTTTCTTGGATCATTACATTACATTACACTAACCTAACCTGGGATTTTCCACCGCATTCAGCTCCAATCTGGAATGGCGGCATATTTTCGCCATAAAGATCCATTTGTGAGGTGAATTTTGTGGTGGATTACGGAAAGCAGGAATCACAAGAACTCACAAGAACCCACAGATTCACGTGCAATTGCACAAGAACAAGTTGTCTCTAACCACATGGACTAACCATATCAGCAGTAGATTGACCTGTTTGTCTCCGCCCATTTGCATGGTGTGTTTTATCTTAAAAAGAAGCCGGATGTTTTATTTTGTGTCTGTGCCCGACTTCCTTTCCAGCACGGGTTAACCTGTGCCGAATTTATACAGCATGCTCCGGTGTCCAGAAAAAATAGAACTCTTGCGATCAGCTGCGGAGTCCGGTGATCTGCGCCCAACATGCTAACTTGCGCTTCCTACCTACTTGGCTACCGTTAAAACTGTTGTTCTAGTCTACACGCAAGGTTTTTGTTCTCATTCATGAGACGCTTAAATCGGGGACATTTCTGGGAACAGCTTCAGATGGGGACAGTTCATCCAATACGGGGAAATCGGGGACATCTGGTCACCTTACCCTAACCATCATTATGCATTAGCAGCTTTAAAAGATGCATGAACGTTAGCATGACTCTGCAGAAGAATGCACGTCACACATTGTGCTGATTCTACTTCTTTATTGTCATTTTAATAAAGAGGAAACAATGCAAAACTTTAAGCTGCAAAAAATGACTTTTTCCTCTTTATTAAAGTTCCTGTAAGGTGCCGGTTTTGGGAATACGACAGACTAAGCAGGAGGTTTTTCTCCAGTTGGCAACATGCAAGTTTCTGTGAATCTTTTCGGTGCAGTTGGTTTCAGGAAAGGCTGTTTTTGCAGCATGGAAATAAACTTTTTTTCTCTTTAAGGTCCTTGTTTGCTTTTGTCAGTCCAGCAGAGACGTCACTTTTTACTTCAGTTGCTTCATTAAGGATTAAAACTCCTTTAAAGGGAATAAAAGGCTGTGAGATGTAATATCCACTCCTGGATCTCAAAGCAGCATGTTCTTGTTGCTGAAACTCTCACAGCAGTGCTGCCATGATTTGCTTAAATTCCTTTCGTGCCCCGTTCTCTCATTGTCTCATATCACCCTCACTGCCGCTCCTTCAGGACGGAGAATAACTGGACGAGTGCCGACCATGTGCCACACGGGATCGACGGCCTCATTCTCCATCCCAGGATGGCGACATCATCATCACCTCGCTCCTGACTTCCTGTCTCCTGGTGTGGCTGCCTGGCTGGAAGTTGGCAGACAGCCGGGAAGCTAACAAACACATGCACACAGCTCACACTCATGCACACGCACTTAGAGGATCTAATGTTGACGTCAGCTCAGTGCATCCTGGGATAAGACAGAGGCATGTCCTTACTTCCGCTTACTTAGTGTCGAATCATGTTAGCTAGTTCGCTTGCTGCTGCTGCTGCTTCTTCTTCATCTGTTCTCCATGTGGCAACCAGCATGAAGAAGAGACCATTGACTCAAGTTTTTATAGACTTCTTGAGTATTACGGCGTAAAAGAAGAGGTGTGTTTTTAAAGAGAAATCTAATCAGAAAATGCAAAAAATTCTTACAAAGCTTAGTCACTTCTGAAATTAAGAAAACAGCCCGAATTCTGACGAAGCTTCTTCAGACTCATTTACCATCAGGGAGGAAGTCGGAACCAGCTCCGAACAATACTTGGCCTGCTTTCTGAAGGAAATTAGAAAAGCTCCATCCATCCAACGGAGAGGGATCTTCCTGTCTGAGGTCATAACCAGCTCCGACTCCATAGATTTGGGAAAAGTAGAAAGGACGCTTCCTGGTGCCGAGGGTTAAAATGAACAGCGACAGATGAAGGAGAGTGGGCGCTTCCTGGCGTCAGAGGTGACTCCGAATGAGTCCATAGATTCGAAGAAGAGGGCATTTCCTGAATTCAGCCTCTGATAGCAGGTTGCATTGATCGGATACGCAGAACAATCGCTTTATGGATACATAGATCTAGTCCAGGTAGAATAAGCACTTCCCGCTGTCAGAGGTTAATCCTTAAATCTCCAAAGACCAAAGTCAAGGGCGTTTCCTTCATGAAGGGATTAGTGGGACAAAAACCAAGAGTCCACACAAATCACAACTTCCAATCAAAACAAAAAGGCACTTAAATATATCATAACGGAGAAACAGGCACGGGTTAGATTCAGCATCTAGATTAGTGGAAACATTTCATAGATATAGATACACAGGAATATGCCATCATCCAAACTCGTGCTGTACAATCAGCATATCTATCTTTCTCACAGATTTCCCGTCCACTTTGACTCACTGCTTTATGAATCCTCATAGTGGTAATGACATTAACTCTCCACTTCACCTTACAGGGAAATCTAATTATGAGCTACCATAAATGAATGTTTCGTAACCGGTCACTTATCATCATTGCAGGCCTTGTATTGTAACTTGTTGTGACGTATTGTAACTTCCTGTATTATAATGTATCGTACTGTGTTGCATATTATCATAACTAAATGAATCTTATTGTATTGTATCAAAAAGTATCATATCCTATCGTAACCTATGATACGGTATGGTATTGTATCGAATCATATTGTGTAATATTGTGTCATCTCTTATCGTAACTTATCATATTGTCATATTGTATCATACCGTATCTAATGATATTATAAGTTATTATATTACACTGTATTATATCATATTCTATCATAATGTATCAAATCATATAACACTGTATCATTTTGTATCTTATGATATTAAAAACTATCATATTACATTTTATTATATTGTATTCTATCATACATTGTAATATTTGGTCATACAGTATCACATCATATTGTAAAGTATCATTTCATACTGTATCTTACGATATTCAAAATGATCATATTACATTGAAACATATCGTATTCTATCATATTGTATCAACTCATACAGTGTAATAACATATTGTTTCATATTGTATCATACTGTGAAATATTGTGTCATATCATATTGTAACTTATATTGTATCATATTGTATTATAAGTTGTTTTTTTGCATTGTATCATATCATATTGTATCTATCATTTCATACTGTATCTTATGATACAAGTTATCTTATTGTATGTATCATATCATTATCTATCATATTGTATCAAATCTACAGTATAATACCGTATTGTTTCATATCATATCATATTGTACTGTATCTTATTGTATTGTATCATATCATTTACAAACCAAATTTACAGTGAAGTTGGGACGTTGTGTAAATCACAAATTAAAAAAACCAATAATTTGCAAACTCTTTTCCACCTATAATCAATTAAATAAGATGATTTTTAATGTTCAAACTGATAAACTTTGTTATTTTGTGAGTTTCAAGTCAAATGTGAGCCTTAAAATAGCTCCACCACAAAAAAAATGTGGTCCAAAAATTTTATAGGTCCTAACGAAGACAACTGTACAAGTACATAGACACACACTGGCAGCTATCTCACCCCGGCAGCTGCTGATGTTGCTGGCAGCGCCGCTCCGCACAGCCTCAGCTGGAGGAGGATTTTGGCTGCAGACATCAAGCAGCGAGAAATCATGAAACCAAAAAAAAAAAAGAAAAGACAGAAAGAAAGATGGCTGTCCAAGAATTATTTACTCCTGTGGAATGTAGAGAGAGGAGTCTGATTTATATTTAGAGACAGAAAGAGGACCACTGTAGACTCTGTGACCTGCAGCTGGCAGGGAAAGAGGGGAAGTTTGTTTAAAAGTGTAACCTGATATAGATCACGAATATACGGGATGGTACTATTTATTTTGGGTGTTGTGTTGACATGAATCAGAACCTTCTGGATGTATCTGCTGCCAAACTGAAATAGATTAATTCAAGACACAAAATAAGGTCACTGATTTGAGCAGTAGGCGGTGATACGAGGATGCCATCTTGACTAATTGGTCACATGATCGTTACACATTATATCTGCATTAAGAATTTGGACTTTCATCATCAGTATTGTAATAAATAAGTGACGAAAATACAAAAGCCCTTCAGTCAGTTTGTACTTCATCATAATTGCTTTGTTGTGCTTCAATCAATGTGCAAAAGTTTTGCATTCAAGGATGCATTGCTGCACTTGACACCATGTTCAAAATAAATGAACAACACTGACATCAAGAGGACAGAGACTGGAACTGCATGCAAGCTTTGAATTTAGTCCATAAATTCATGCATGACGTGACAAGTTTTATCCCACAGCCATGATTCTGATGGTTCAGGACGCTAAAGTGAGGCGTGGAGCTGAGGTGTTTTGCACTTTTTCCAAAGTGTTTCAAAAAGTTTCTGTCTGAATAAGAAATACACGGTCATATATTTAAACACTGTTTAAATGTAGTTTACAGCTTAAACCGTCCTGAATCATTCCCTGCTGCTGTTCCTCGCAGCTGTAATGTTACCGTAAAGCTGCTGTAATGTACGGTTACTCACGACGTCGACGTCTTCACTCACGTTTCCGGGCAGGAGGGTCTCGCTGTTCCGTCGCTGCTGTTGCTCCCTCCGCTAGCATGACTATTCACTCCGGTGTGACAGTTGGTGCTGAACTTCCTAAAACTGGAGCTGTGTGGCGCTGCTGCTACTTCCCGCTTCCTCTCGTTGGTGTATTCGTCCTTTTTGACGAACAAAAAAACTCTTACATCCATTTTTTTCGACGCTTACCGCCGAGCCCGTCTGTGAATATTTGAACTTTAACTCGGTAAACGGTCCGCCCCCCTTCACCTGTAATTGGCTAACACTTTACCTTCAATCGATGTGATTGGTTGGATTGATTGACATGTCAAGATAGATGGGATTCACTGGCGCATGGCGGCCATTTTGCTACGCGACGCTCGCCCACTCATAACATTCCAGTCTACGGTGCATGTAGTTTAAAAATAACCATAGATTGATTAATTTTTAACCGATTTTCAAACGGTTTGGTTTGTATCGAACCTCAGAGTTTTAGTTTTGTTCCTGCATACTCAAGAATAATTTTAACTATGGATTTTTTTTAAATAAATAAACATTAAGCGGGTAGGTCAATAGCTATAGGCCTACATACACAAGGCAGCTATATTAAATCATTTATACATAAAACATTTAATAATTCCATGTATAATATATTAGTAATATTTGTATTATAGGGATAACTATAGTAACATATAGCAATAACATATGTAAATATTTATTTTCAATATAAATTTCTGCCTCATGTTGCCATTTTAGACGTTTTTAACAAACCAAACAGCTTGGAAATCATGTGTAACTTAAGGTCTGCCTCTTCAATTGACAGAGCCGGCCCAAGCCTCAATGGGACCCTAAAAAAATTGATTTTGGGGCCCTCTATTTCTGCCAATAATATTGATTGTTGATCACTCACACACCTTCACAAATCTCTTTAACATTCCCTGACATGCAAACATACCTTTATCTTGGCGTTTTTTCTGCTCATCCTTCATGAGCAGAGAAAAGAAAGAGGAAATGTCCTTTTTTGTGACATTGTTTTGTCCCGCAACTACCTGTGCTTTGGATGCTCAGTGCACATTTCACAGCAGAAGTCAGATAACGGCAGCAGAGCTTTGACATATCGGCAGTAAGAATCATAGGCCAACATCAGCAGCAGCACTAAAATGTTTTTACTATATTTTATGTTTACAATAATATAGATTTGATGATACAGAAAGTATCACTCATACATGCAAAAAATAACAAATATTCATTTATCTATTTATTTAATTGCTCTTGGGGGCCCCCTACTGGTCGCAGAGCCCTAAGCTGGCGCTTAGTTCGCTTATGCCTTGGGCCGACTCTGCCAACTGATGTAAAATTACCGGGTCAACTTTGTAATACGTACTTGGTCTCACTAACAGCGCGTCTGTTAGCCAAGTTAGACAGCGGATAAACACAAGCACATCCACAAAGACTGACACATAGATTAAATAAATAAATATATAAAAGGCTGTCATACAAGAAATTAAAATCTCGATTGTGGTCTCAGCCTTGACAAGAAAATCTGCCGTTTCAATATGTCCAAGCATCCCGACTCATAGCCAAGCTATTAAGGTATGTAATAAACAAAACTGTTTGTAAATCTGTCAAGATTTCAGCGAGTTCAGAGTATTTTTGATCATGTAGATTACTTACCTTCGTCAGCTACCATAGAGCGTACCAGAATGGTATACTGGAGTAAGATGGCCGCCGTGAAGGGATGCCGGTGACTCAGCCTCGAGTCTTCCAACTTTTCTTCTTTATAGCTATGATCCAGAGGAACCTATAGCATGATGGAGCTCAGGGTCTGAAGTTCACATTGATGCTTTTCTATCATAAAAACAAACAAGATAAACCATGTCAAGATTGGTGATTTTTATAGTATTCTTCAGCCTTGAACTCAATCATTAGTCTATTTAATCTGTCTTATAAAATTTAGTCTATTTTCTAAACATAAAAAAGTCCTTACTGGAGCTTTAAAGTTAATTCTTAAAAACAATGAGAGGCCACAGTGAGAAAAAACGAGACTTCTGAGTCTCATTTGGATTCGGACAGGAAAACTACAGCTCCCATCATCCCACAGAGTCTCACAACAACAAACGAGAGGCAGGCAGCAGCTGGGAGAGAAGGAGACAGACAGACTGCGTAAAGAGGAGGACAGAGAGACAGGCAGGGAGAGTTTTTCTTCCACATCAATGGAGGATTATTTCACCGCTGCAGCAGAGGAGGAGAACTGACGGAGGAAGAGAAAAACACGCGCAAAATGGCCAAAAACCAGGAAGTGGAGCGCATCGCCAAAAAGCTGGATAAAATGGTGCACAAGAAGAACACGGTGAGTGTGGAACCAGCCCTCTGCAGCCGAGAGAAGAGGGGGAAAATTCTGGAAAAACATGGACCGTGTGTGTTTAACTGAGAACACAGCGGCGTGGAGATGATCCACACTTTTACGCACAGACGAACAGACAGCTGCTTCTGTTTTTGATCAATCCGAGTCAAAGTGAGGCGATAAATCACAGCTGATGGTGTAAAAGCTGCCAATTAAAACAGCCACACTCACACACCTTGATTCAATTACCTCTGAGTTGGTCTTATTCTTGTGATGCAGCTTTTTTAGAGGTCAGAATAAATCACTAAAGCTTGTTTTGAAGGGAAGGGGAAAGTGTCTAACTCTCATATCCAACATTTTTAATGAATCTGACCACTGGATCACAGAACTAGTCTCCTGAATGATGGTTCAAAAACATCATATATAATGTATGATAGGATTTGGAAACGCCCACCTGCTGAGAGCTGGTTTCTGTGTTTGACCTTCATGCAAATTTAATTAAATACCCTCCTACACCTGAACCAGTGTCATTTAAATGGCCTCAGTCTGAGCTGAGTTATAACTGATGCTAAATAAATGATGAAAAATTAAAGATATAATTATGCAATTATTTCTAAAATCAACCAGTCACCACAAATCATCAATTTTTTAAATTTGATTCCCGAAGAAAATAAGTTTAAACAGTAATTTCTTGTGTTTCGCACTCCTGGAGCGCTTAAAGGTGGGGTCGGCAAGATACGTTTAAAGAAGCATCATTTTTTGTGGTGTTTGTACCAAATAGCTTTTAATATCAGTCAATAGTTATTAGTTATTGATGACATTTGTAAATATATTGATATCTCTGTGTTTTGTTATGTGTAGTCAACATTTTCTCTTTCTGACTGTAAACAAAGCCGTTCTCCGCCTCCTCTAACCTGATTGGTTGTGAGGCAGACGCTGCTCAACCGTGTCGTTCAGGAGCCCAAACAAAGTTAGCGTGCTACAATATCGGACAGTAGAAACCAACCAGAAAGTTCGGAAAATTGTGGTCGCTCACAGTGCGCCAGCATAGGACAGTTAAGCTAGCTAAAGACATTGTGCCTGTAGAAGTTGGACAGTAGCTCCTTTTGTTGTTAGCACTGTTAGCTGTTGGGACTTTTGAGCTCATGGTAACAGTTTGCACACACACACACACACACACACACACACACACACACACACACAAAAGATAACACAACCCAGTTTGATATCTGTCTGCACTCTCCATAACTGTCTTCGCTCCCTTCCTTCTCCTCTCCCCTCGGGGTCGACAGTCTTTCTCCATCTCTGTTCATCCTTCACTTCATACATGTCTCTGTGTTGCTTATGTGGCATTATGGGAACAAATCCAGCTTTTTTTCCCCTTTGGACCGTGTGATCTGTAACAGAAAGCACATTTTTTTCTCCTCTTTGACTCTCTCTCTTTCTCTGCATGTTGTCCTGTCCTGTTTCTGTGTTTACATCCTCTTTACGTTCGTACATTTAGATTCTTCTTCTAAATCAAGTTGAATTTCTGTTCCAAAGTTGCTGCGAACAGGATTCCCTCATTTTGCAGCTGGAGTCTCAGCTTCATTTGCACAAGTATGAAATTCCTGGCCTTGTTTTGGAAACATCTTTGTCCTCTTTTGGTTTCGTCACTCTCTTTATAACCTTTAGTGTACTTTGAATGATCGTCTCTTTGGTGTGAGAGTTTTTGTTTGTTTGTTTGTGTCCGCAGGATGGAGCTCTGGATCTGCTGAGGGAACTGAAGAACATCAAGATGTCTCTGGAGACCCTGCAGGTATCTCACACGTCATGGTCTGGATTAGGAGTTTCTTAACAGCATCAGTCAGTGCATTTACATGATACTCGAGAAAACCGAATTATCGCCTTACTCCGATAAGACCGGACAACGTCAATAATTTGGTTTTCTCAGCTGCATGTAAACGCGGACAAGGAGAGGAGTCCGATTCAGCGAAAGAATCTCGGGGCTAGTCAGCTCAGCTAGCTTGGATTTCTTAGTCTAATATGTGCCTCTAGTGGACACTCAATGAACTGCGGTCTTCTGCACGACTCCAGTGGTTTCATTTTCCTACAATAAGAGTTGCTACTTGATTAATATCCACACCATCACTTTAACTATTGCGGCAAAAAGGGTTATATATCAAACTGTTCTGGTGACCTCGCTTTCCCTTTCTCTCTCTCTCTCTCTCTCCGTCTGTCTGCAGTCAACCAGAGTCGGGATGTCGGTAAACGCGGTGAGGAAGCAGAGTTCGGATGAAGAAGTTCAGACTCTGGCCAAAACCCTCATCAAGTCCTGGAAGAAACTGCTGGGTCAGTGTGGGTGGGAGTTTGCTGCACATGTTTGTACTAAAGACAGATTTTTGCCCACAAAGGCGAGGACAGTTTTAAAGAGTCAGATCTGAGTTGGGTTATGTTGTACGTTAGACGAATGACATGCACAGTGATGTGAATGAGTTCTAAATATGTGTCCATGTTTGTTGTTTTATGTCTCCTTCTGCAGATGGTTCAGAGGAGAAGGAGAAGAAGAAGGAAGGCTCTCCTGTCAGGTCGTCTTCCACCTCGAAGGACTCTGGCAGCGAGAAAAAGTCCGTCCCACAGCGCTTATATCACGTCTCTTATAAAATAAAAGTGACTTTTCCATACCTCTCCTGATTTCATCCTTTGTCTTCTTCAGCGGTAAGAAGTCTGGAGAGGCCCCGTTAACACCAACCTCACCGACTACACCCACCTCTCCGACGTTCCCCCCTGCGGTCACCTCCTTCCCCCCGGCCCCCGTCACCACCGACAGCGTGAGGAACAAGTGTCGAGAGCTGCTGGTGGCAGCGCTGCAGACTGATGGTAAGAATCATCTAAAGTAGAGGAGCATTAAAAACAACAAGTTTGAAGTAAGTTTGACACGACTGAGGCAGATGGGTGTCCAACGTGAGTCTGCTTCTGTTGAAGGGTTTCTGCCTGTTAGAGGGACTTGATTCATGCTGCAGAGTCACACTGGATTATTAACATACTTTCTGTTCTATAAATTCAATGACACTGATAATGATGATAAGCCTACAAAGCTCGAGCACATCTCCATTTGTCTGGATGTTAATTATTGTTCTCTTTCCCTTTTTGAAATAAAGAGTAAAAAAGAATTTGGGAGCAGTTTTTTCACCTTTAAAATCAGCTTTTATAGGGATACTCCGGCGTAGAATTTAGGGTCAAACACACAGTAACACAGTTCCTTGAGCTGCGGCACCCCGCTGTAGTCCGTAATGGACTGGTCTGAGGTCTTACTACAAACAAGCGTCTGCTGGAAGAGAGTAGGTGAGTTGTGTTTAGTCTCTTTGTTAAAGAAATGAGTCAAAGTTAAAAAGATGTTTGGTGTCTAGTACTATGTCTGTGACCCTATATGTACTAACCTCAGTAGACCATGGTGTAGTTCTGTTCACTAACAGAACCTCACTGGAAAATTAGCTGATTTAACTTTACTGTGCTCTTGTTCAAATATATTAACTCAACAGCACATAAATCCATAACTGTTAACAAAATTATGATTTTATTGATAATTCGGCTAAATCAAAACACCTTTACCTTTTCATTTTGATATAATAGAAGTTTCTTGGCCCAGCTTATAGACTTCAGGAGTGGAGAAACGCCTCCGCTTAAGTTTATGTTTTCTTGGGACAACGCTGAATATAGTACTATGGCTGTGACCCTATATGTCCTGTTGATGAAGTTAGGTGCTGTTCTGAGCATTATTTGTGGCTACAGAGTGGCGTTTTGGTTGAGGGCGTGGCTCTCTATATTTCTATCCTGTGGTCGTTACTAAAGTTGGTATAACTAGAGAAGTAAGCTGTCGACAACATTCATCTCTAGAGGGGGGGTCTAACTCGGTGTTACGGTGTGGTTGACCCTAAATTAATTTTACGCCGGGATATCTATTTAAAAAGCAGATATTAAATTTTGTCTTATTGTTGCTGTAATACTTGTTTTGAACACAAGGGGGTGTAGTGCACCACGACTCCACGCTCTTTACAGGTTTTCCCTCATGTGATTTCTTTTCTCTCTACAGTCCAAAACAAGAGATTTAAATACTGAATACTTAGTGTAAAAAACTAGTGTAACATCTTCCTTATGTAATTCTTTCTAATGCAAATATTATGAAAGATGCTAGCTTATAAAATAATTCTATTTCACCCACCTGCTTTAACTTTACTGACTAAAAAAGTGGGTCCGTTGTCTTTGAAATATGACAATTATTTATTAAAGCGTAGGAAATTAAAGAAAAGATGAGTAATTCTTGGCTTTACAGCGTCATAAATCTTCACATAAAATCAGGTGAAGCCAAAACAAACATTTGGATAAGTAATGAATCAAACTCTGTTTTATTTGTCAGAGGTGTGTATCTTTAGTGTGTGTGTGTGTTTGTGTGTCTTTTGTGAAGTTACGAGCTTGTTATGACTTCGCTCTTCGTTTCTGTACTTTAGTTTCGATGCGTCTCTTCTAACCCGAGGATTTGTGTGTTTGTGTTTCAGGCGACCACAAGACCATCGGGGTGGACTGTGAGCACCTGGCGGCACAAATCGAGGAGGATATCCTTTCAGGCCGACTTCACGTGCGCGGAAAACAAACTGTTTCACACATGAATGAAAGATCCTCATGTGAGTGTACCGACTGGGTGTGTTTCACCTGGTTAGATAAATAGAAGTAACGCCGCGGTTTGACTCCGAGGAGGGCCACGCCGCTCTGTTTGTCGGTTTCATCTAGGAAGACAAACAGCGCCGATTAGAACATGAAGAGGCAAAGTTTGGGCAATTAACCCTCAGAACTCCCAGATATATTTTTCTATTTTTGGTCCGCCTGGTTTTGTAAAAATCTATCTATCTTTTCAGCTCTCTCCCTTCAGTTGTAAGTGTTAAGGATGTCCTCAAAATGCTCCTCTGACTTAGCAAACAACACGTCATTTTGGCGCCCACTGTTAGAGTCGTTAACCCCCATTTCCTGGAGGCAGCAGTCAAAATAAGTCAGTCCAGACATGCTGAAGCTGTCATGTGTTTGATTTCCTCCTTGACCGCCCGTCGTGCTCACAGATCTTCCAGGAGTTCAAGTCGACGGATATGAAATACAAAACTCGCCTACGGAGCCGAATCTCCAACCTGAAGGACCAGAAGAACCCGGACCTGCGGCGAAACGTCCTGTGTGGAAACATCTCATTCAAACGCATCGCCTGCATGTCAGCAGAGGTCAGAGGTTTGAGCTTCATCCCCTTTTTTTTCTCCAATAACGCCGATCTGTCTGTTTTTGTTGCACATCGGAGTCTAAAGGTTAGAGGAACGTTTGTGCAGGAGATGGCGAGCGCGGAGCTGAAGCAGATCAGAGAGGCGCTGACTAAAGAGTCCATCAGAGAGCACCAGCTGTCCAAGGTGGGAGGAACCGAGACCGACATGTTCATCTGCAGCAAGTGTCACGGGAAGAGCTGCACGTACACACAGGTACAGAAATACACACATAAGGGAAACACTGGTCACACTTTACAATAATCTGTAATTTAAACATGTAAATAGATCATTTATTTATGTTTAATCATTTAAAAACAGCATATAGACCAATTTTAAATGGTAAATAGTTTATCAATGTAAGTTAATAGTTACTTCACCATCAACAAGCAATGAAACAATCATTAATACTTTTCATTAATTATTAAAGGTTTAAATATTGGTTGTAAAACATCTAGATTCAAATGTGTTTTACTTTGTAAATGGTTAATATTTGTTTTTTAAACCGTCAATAAACATTATTTAGACGGTTATTGTAAAGTTAGAGTTAGGTTTTAAAATTGTAAAATTTACAATTTACTAATTTATTAAATGATTGATGGTCTACATGCTGTTTTTAAGTGATGATTAAACATTAATAAACTCTCTGCCTACCATTAATAAATGGTCTATTTACCATTTATAAGTCATGGTTATTGTAAAGTGTTACTGAAATACTTGTTATACAGACATGTGATAATCTACCTCTACTTCCACCACGAGTACTACCACTCCCAGTACTCCCAGTACTCCCACTACTGTGTTTTTTTGTGTATTGCAGGTGCAGACCCGCAGCGCTGATGAACCCATGACCACCTTTGTGTTGTGTAACGGCTGTGGCAACCGATGGAAGGTGAATTTAACTTTTCAACTTTATATTTATGGCACTTTTCAGACAAAAAAATGTAGCTCAAAGTAAATAACTGATACTAAAAACAACAATTAGACACACACAAGTGTACACTGAGTAAGAATTTAAGATATATTGTTCGAGAGACATGACCTGACGCCGAGACATTACGTGAGGAAAGAGCTACCTCTGGGAAACACTGGAGTTAAAATAAAAAAATAAATAAATAAATGAAAGATGGTAAAAGGAGAGTAAAACCTGATGGACTAAAACAATAAAATAAAATAAAATGAACAAATAAATAAAAGGGGTAAAAGAAGTAAAATACTCCAAGGCAGGAGTTAAGAGAAAGACTAAGAACAAGATAATTAATAAGATTACATAAAAGAAACATGAAGAACTTTGATTAAAATGAACATTTGTAAGAAAAAAAATCTAAAAAAGTGAAAAGCTTGGTTAAAGAGGTTAATAAAGGTGAGTCTTGAGCCTCTTCTTAAAAAATAACAACCAGAATTATTTTATAATGAAGAAAAAAAAAGTTTCTGTTTAGAGTGAAAAAAGTGACGCCTTTAAAAACACGAGAATTACATTATTATAAACTTACGTTTTAAAGATGGATAAAAAAACGGTTCAGGTCGAGTGTAAAAGTTGAAGGATCAGTACCAGAGTTTGTCACTAGATGGCAGCACAGACATGCTCTTCTTTCCTCACTTTTTCTCCTTCTTTCCCACAAATATCCCTCTTTTTTTATTTTCTTCTCTCATCTTTCTCTCCTGTCTTCTCTGATTATTTCACCCCTCTCTCTCTCTGTCTCTCTCTCTCCTTTCCTTTGTCCTTTCCCCCCTTCCTTATCCCTCTCCGCTCCATATTTACTCCTCGCCGTCCTCCCCGCCCCTCCCCCGCCTCCCTTATTTAGCTGCCGGCTGTAGGTCAAGGTGAAGCCTGACTAATTTGAGAAGCTCATGTTCTTGTTTGTGGGGAGTGTTGTGGTGTGTTTGCACTTTAACAAACCAGTTTGGAGGCTCAGAAATTTCTCACAGACTCTCGGGTTGACGGCGAATCTTTGACTCTTTCTCTGTTTCTGTCTTTCAGTTCTGCTGAAGAGGACGAGCGTGTAAATTATCTCTCATGGAGCTGACTAAAGTGAGGATTTAGTTTATTTTCTTCTTGTTTTGTATGATTTCTTTTTATAAATATATATATAAAGGAAAAGCTGTAATATATTCAGAGAAGAATTAGCCGGATCATGTTGTATATTGGTTTGATTTGTTTTCTATGGAGCACCTAAAGCTTGAAGTGGGAGTGAACTCACATTAAGGCCTTGTGGAAACTGTAGATGTGCCTTTCTTTGCCATGTAGTGCTGCCACATATTTTGCCCTTAACATTTCTATTAAAGTTTCTCATGGATGAAGACGAACATTTCTGCAGTTTTCTGTTTTCTTTGAGCTCCAATATAATCGAACACTTTTGGACCGTTGGAAAAATAACAGTAACAGGTATCGAGGTGTAACGAGAGATGTGGTCAACGCCATCAGATTATGAGAAGTCTACCGCACTACGACCGTATTTTCCGGGCCATACGGCGCACCGGATTGTAAGGCGCAAAACAACACAGTCCGATAAATTAAACTTTATTTGACTCAGTTGTAACGACAAACGCCGGTACAGAAAAATACGCTCACAAATACGACTCTTCGTCTTCAGTGTTGGAGTAACAGCTGTGCGATTTCGGCATCAAGCGTGCCCGGATCCCTCTCATCGTTATCCGAGTCAGCCTCGTTGCTGTTACCATGAAAACTTAAGTGACAGTTACCGTAATACTCCGAATATCCATTGAGCGGAGCGCCTTTTTTTGCTTACTGAAGTCGTACTTAGACATTTCGAGCTTGAAGTCGAAATTTCGAGATTAAAAAAACAAAATTATGTCAAAGTCAAAATTTGGACATTAAACTTTAAAATCTCGGCAGAGTTTTGAGCGCAGCGTACCACATAAAATCAGTCAGTAAGCACAACAAGTCATCATACATGAGGCGCTGGATTATAAGGCGCACTGTCAATTTTCCAGAAAATTTAAGGATTTTAAGTGCGCCTTAAAGTCCGAAAAATACGGTAAAAATAATGCAATAGGAGAAAACTATAAATTTATACACTCACCGGCCACTTTATTAGGTACACCATGCTAGTAACGGGTTGGACCCCCTTTTGCCTTCAGAACTGCCTCAATTCTTCGTCGCATAGATTCAACAAGGTGCTGGAAGCATTCCTCAGAGAGCTCGGTCCATATTGACATGATGGCATCACACAGTTGCCGCAGATTTGTCGGCTGCACATCCATGATGCGAATCTCCCGTTCCACCACATCCCAAAGACGCTCTATTGGATTGAGATCTGGTGACTGTGGAGGCCATTTGAGTACAGTGAACTCATTGTCATGTTCAAGAAACCAGTCTGAGATGATTCCAGCTTTATGACATGGCGCATTATCCTGCTGAAAGTAGCCATCAGAAGTTGGGTACATTGTGGTCATAAAGGGATGGACATGGTCAGTAACAATACTCAGGTAGGCTGTGGCGTTGCAACGATGCTCAATTGGTACCAAGGGGCCCAAAGAGTGCCAAGAAAATATTCCCCACACCATGACACCACCACCACCAGCCTGAACCGTTGATACAAGGCAGGATGGATCCATGCTTTCATGTTGTTGACGCCAAATTCTGACCCTACCATCCGAATGTCGCAGCAGAAATCAAGACTCATCAGACCAGGCAACGTTTTTCCAATCTTCTATTGTCCAATTTCGATGAGCTTGTGCAAATTGTAGCCTCAGTTTCCTGTTCTTAGCTGAAAGGAGTGGCACCCGGTGTGGTCTTCTGCTGCTGTAGCCCATCTGCCTCAAAGTTCGACGTACTGTGCGTTCAGAGATGCTCTTCTGCCTACCTTGGTTGTAACGGGTGGTTATTTGAGTCACTGTTGCCTTTCTATCAGCTCGAACCAGTCTGGCCATTCTCCTCTGACCTCTGGCATCAACAAGGCATTTCCGCCCACAGAACTGCCGCTCACTGGATATTTTTTCTTTTTCGGACCATTCTCTGTAAACCCTAGAGATGGTTGTGCGTGAAAATCCCAGTAGATCAGCAGTTTCTGAAATACTCAGACCAGCCCTTCTGGCACCAACAACCATGCCACGTTCAAAGTCACTCAAATCACCTTTCTTCCCCATACTGATGCTCGGTTTGAACTGCAGGAGATTGTCTTGACCATGTCTACATGCCTAAATGCACTAAGTTGCCGCCATGTGATTGGCTGATTAGAAATTAAGTGTTAACGAGCAGTTGGACAGGTGTACCTAATAAAGTGGCCGGTGAGTGTATATGTATAATAATGATATAAATATATCAATAAAAATACATGCAAATATTTCATCATTTTTGACTGAAAAACATCTTAAAGCATGAATTCATTATATTTTAAGGAGCTAGCGGTATGTTTTTTTTTTTCCTGTTTTGAAAACAAACGTTAAGTTAAAAGTAGCGCGTCCATCATGTCGGACAAAAACAACGCTGTACGATGCTCCATCTTCTTGTTTCTCCAAAATGTCCAGCAGCAGTTGTAGACACTTCTGACGTCTGACACCGACCTGCTGTTGTTGTTGACGGTTGAATGGGGTCGGAAACAGCGCCACTGAAAAGACCCATATCGCCCCCTAGTGTTGGGGAGGAGGACACGTTCATGTCAATAATTCGTTTTCTCAGCTGCATGTAAACGAGGACGAAGAGAGAAGTTCAATTCAGCGAAAAAATCGACTCATGAGCTCAGTCTGATTAACACACTGACTGAAGAAAGTTTCCAGAATGCTGGGGGGGCCTTAAAGGGACAGTGTCTCAACCTTTCTTTCTCAACCTTCTTTCTTTTCTTTAAATGTCTTTTTTCCCTTGTTTCATTTTTTAAGTTTATTCTAATAGGAATGACTGACAGCAGCATGACGACGTCCGTATGGTCTCTGTACTCTGGAGGACTCGGTGTTGACGGAGGTGATGAAGAGCGGCGAGGAGGCCGAGCAGAGACAGCTCCTGCGGTGTTTGTTGTGGAAACACCGCTGAGCTCTTTCCATACATGAGCATAGAGAGAGAGGAGCGAAGGTAGAGAGACACCAGGACGGACTGCGTGATGACACCGAGTCCTGTTAGGTGTCTCCAGGCTCGGGTCTTGGTTTAGACAGACTGCAGGGTCTCTGGATCAGACAGCGACTTGGTTACTTAGCGAAGAAACAAACAGACGACAGAGCGAACGTTTAATCGTCCCTCGTTTCTCGGTTCAGACCTGAAGATGGTTAGAAGTCTTTAAAGTCGACGCAATAACGTTAAAAAATAGAAAGTTCACAGGGGGAGTTAAGGTTAGAGTGAGGCATGCTGGGAAAATGTGTGTGTGGAAGGTGATTGATGACCTTTATTTCTCTGTGAGTGGGCGTGTCCAGACGTCCTGATAGTAGGACTGAGCGTGTCCTCCTTCTGTGTTTACACGCCGTAAGAATGAGGGCGCTCGAGATTTATAATCTCTACATAAACACATTAAGTCACAGTGAAATTTGATATGACACACACACACACACACACACACACACACACACACGCACACTACAAATCAGCTGTTGGCCAAGTTTAGTGTGTATATGTGTGTGTGTGTGTGTGTGCCCTGGTTTCCTTTGGGAACTGTGTGTTGAGGGTGTAAACACTCACAGCTCTGTGTCTCTGCTCATCATCAACCACCATCGCTCTTCTCTAAACCTCAGAAGATGACTGTCTCACATGTGAGTCTGGTCCTGCTCGAGGTTTCTGCCTGATAGAGGAGTAACTCGGTGTTTGACCCTAAATTAATTTTACACCAGAATATCCCTTTAATACAGACAGTTGACAGTTGTTTGAACTTGACGGTTCGGTTCCCTGCATGTAACGATCACCCAAACCACTCTGACACAAACGCTGAACAAAAGACGCCGCTTCTGATTGGATGTTCAAGAGTTTCCGTTTATATATGTACAATTAAAATCACAGTTTTAACAAAATATAAAATAAATAACATTAACAATACTAAGATAAATGCATTCTGAGAGGGCGGTCTGTTCACCACTGACACACGTCTCTCTTTGAAAATCGGTCGTCTCTGCCTCCTGCAGACGACTACAAACATCCTCAAACTACATTTCCCATAAAGCACTGGGTGTAAGCATCCCATCTCACATTATATCATCTTCTTTTTCTTTATACATTTTCTATTCGTCGTTTCTCAATAATATATCTATTTATATACTTTTTTGTTGTTTTTTTTGCACCTGGGATTTTCCTCCCACCCCCCTCCTTTCCTGAATTGACCAACCACAGTTCAGCCCTGCCGCTCCCCGCAGCCAATCCGGAGCAGGCGCCGGAGCAGGCGCCGGAGCAGGCGGCGGACAGTGGTGAGGTCAAGGTGAGAGGTCACAGAGGCAGAGGTCAGCAGCAGCAGTGCCCAGGTAGGCCACCCTGGTGTGTGAGTGAGTGAGTGAGTGAGTGAGTGAGTGAGTGAGTGAGTGAGTGAATCTGTGTGTTTCATTTGTATGTCTATACTTATGAGGACCTACAACAAACAGAAGATCCCCTTAAGTATAGGAACACAAATCATGATTCTGTGTGTACGTGTGTGTGCTGTTTTTCCAAACTCCAGTGTTTATTGCACCTGTGTGTGTGTGTGTGTGTGTGTGTGTGTGTGTGTGTGTGTTTGTGTTTGGGTGGAGATCAGTACAGTCTCAGAAGTTTCCTCCTCTTCTTGCAAAATAAAAAACCTCCAGGAATGGGAAAGGGAGCGGGAGAAACCGAACGAAACAAAAACAGAGAAAAACAAAAATCAACGTTTTTATAGTTTTCTCTTAAAAAATAGACGTCTGGTCTGTTTGTAAATCAGTAGTTGGAAGGAAGCGGCGTCCGTCCGTTTTTCCGTTTGTTTGTTTGTTTGTCAGAGGAGTGAAATGATGAATCCAGCAGAGATAAATAAAGAGTAGAAAGAGTTGTTGGGATGGAGGGAGCACCCTGTGTTTTCCAGTTAAAAACAAAGACGTAAAAAAAAGAAGAGCGGAGTCATGGGACCACGTCGTTTTTTCTTTCTGCTTTCCCATCAGTCCAGAGTTCAAGGCAACCGTTTGATGAAAAACAAGGCGATGAGGTGATCCGGAGTCATGAACGACGTCCACCTTTTATCGACTCTAGAAGCTGATTGGACGGTTATGAGGGGGGAGGGGCTAACTGGTGGGAGTCCTGTTCGACTCCATGGCACTGATGTGAATTCCTCCCGTTGAAATGCATCAAAATCTCCCAAGTTATCATGTGTGCACGTCCACTTCACAGTGGATGACGATCTCCAAAAATACTTCAGGATGGAGGGAGGGGGAGGGTGGGAAACAGCAGAGAGGAGGAGGAGGAGGAGGAGGAAGAGTGCAAAGATCGACAGAATACGAGGACAGCTGGAGATCAAAAATGACTGAAGTGGTTTTTCAATACTGACGAAAGTCCAAGAACCAGATTTCAGGGACCCTGGAGGTTTAATCAGCTTTTTTCTGCAGCTGTGAACCAAATTATCGATCTAACCCCAAATTTCCACCGCAACTGGAACGGCGAAGAACCATCCTACCATCCTACGAAAAAAAACATCGCCAGGCTTTAGTAATTTAGCTAACTTTGAGAGTCTGATATGAGCTTTTTCATAAACTTCAAATCAGTTATCGGCCGGTGAAAATTCTTCGGTAAAGTTTGGGGATTTAGATTTGCATCGTAAATTTAATTTTCTGACATTTTTTAGGGAGAAAAATCTAATTTTTATGTTTTTTTAGCTACAGATGAGACACACAGACGATCTTTTTAATGTTTCGTGGTTTGATCGAGCAGGTCTAGTTTCATACCACGCAGCTTTACTTCTAATCGTACGCTGTCCAGCTTTTGAAGGCCCCCTTACAGAGAATAATAAAAGGATGACTCAGAAAAGCCGAAGAAGATGAAGAAGGACAAATCAACCACAGAGGGAAAAAAGGAGTAAACCGGAGAGCAGAGGGGGTCTTGGCAACAGAGAGAAAAGGAGGGAACACAAAGAAAGTCTTGGCAGTGATCTGAGAGGTTTGAACCAAGGAGGAGGAGGAGGAGGAGGAGGAGGAGGAGGGCGGAGGGGAGGCCGTGAGGGACTAGGATTCAGAGGAGGTACGCGAGCTGCCGTGAAGGAGTGACTTGTAGATGTTGGAGGAGAGGAACCGTGGGTAGGAGTCCCTGTGCATCAGCGTGTAGATCTGTAGCTGGGCGTCCTCGAACGTGTGAGGCGATGGATCCTGCATCTTCCTGTTGATCACTTCTCGAACCCGAGCGTCCAGACTCACCTGAAGGAGAGAAATCGATCAGTGTCGGTCTCTTAGTTAAGGAACAAAATTAAGCTGTTTTTACAAAGTTTGTCCCGTAGGGGGCACCATACAGAAACACCCTGGTACTAACTCCTGTCAAATATAAACCACACTCCGCTCTCTAAAAGTGAAGCCAAAACAGTTGGAGCTCCCCCTGCTGACTGGCAGCAGTATAGATTATAAGCTCCGCCTCCTCCATGTAAACAGATGGGACATGAATCAAACTTTAAAATGAAAAAACAGGCTGAATTCACATTTCTCAACATTTTCACTGACAGTTTAGTTTGAATCAGTTTTTATTTTCTGCTTTTTGAACTAAAATAAAGAAAAAGAAGCAGAAATAGAAACACTGATTCATTAAGTTTGTTATTATTCGATTATTCATTTATGGACGAGGAAATAAGTCAGAACACACTTCAGGTCAATTCAGATTTTTAACCATCTGTGACTCAGATCTGATTTTTTCATCTAAGTGTGAACAGGTCAATTCTGATTGGTTCTAATCCGACCCAGGCCTCTTTTGTATGTGGATATAAATCAGATATGTATCTGATGTGGCCGCAGTGTGGACGCTCAGGTCGCGTTCATCCGACCTATACGTCGTCAATATGCGACAAACGTCATCATTCCTCGACACCACAAACAGGCGCGGAAAGTAATTTGTGCTTTGTGAGCATGTGGGTCACTATAGCATTCGTTGTTGTAATGTGAACGACCGCACAAAAAGATCGGATTTAACGAAAAGTCCGAATTGTGCATCAGAACCTGCAGTGTGAACGCAGCCTTTGTCAACAGCTGTAGAGATCAGGAGGTTAATTCAAGTGGATCAGGAGTCTGTCCTCCATCCAGAAGAGAAAAAATGAAAAACAAAATCATGAAAATATCTGGACTCGTGACTCGGTTCAAGACTGAAATAGTTCTGGTTCCTATAAAAAACTCTGCAGACTCAGAGCTGCCCCGGCAGACTGACAACGAGAGGTATTTATAGAGCAGAAAACTTTCGACAGTGAGCTCCCTCTGCGCTTATTTGGGAAACACACACACACACACTGATAGGCATGTTACCAAGGTCAGACATGCAGACAGACAGTCAGGCATGTATCCTCTGCCAAACTCACACGTCTGGATATCTGTGTGTGTGCGATTGTGTGTGTGTTTGTGTGTCTTTAACCGCCAGAAGGTGATGAGAGCAGCAATTTATAGCTTCCTGTTCACACACACACTAATGCACACACACGCACATGCAGACAACTGTACATGCAGACACACACACACACACTCTCTAGTGATAAAGCCCTACGAGCAGAGCTTCCAGCGCTCCGTCTAAATAAAGAAAAATAAAGAAACCCTTGTTAAGTACACACACACACACACACACACACACACACACAGAAGGTTAAAAATAGCAGTAAGTGAATAAAGTCGAGTGTGTGTGTGTGTGTGTGTGTGTGTGTGTGTGCGTGTGTGTGTGTGTGTGTGTGTTTAGAGGCGGCAGTAATCACGGGCTGCAGCGGTTTGGTTTTCATTTGTCGAGTCGTGTGTTGAGAGGCGAGCACGTGCGCGACAGCTGACTAATAAAACGTGCGCTCCAGTTCAGGAAAACGGAAACTTCAGAGAGTTTGAGAGAATATCAGTGAAGAGATGAAGCAGGGTCCTCAGGGGTCAGGGGTCAGGGGTCATCTGTGTGTGTCTATTTCCAGAGTTTGTCTTGGACTCGTGGACGAGTTTATGAGTTCGTCTCTTAAAGCTCCTGTTACATCTGTTTCCTCAGATGTAGAGCACATGAATAAAATGTATTATTATTATTGTTCTTATAAGAAAACTTTCTGTTTGTGTCATTTTTAGCGCCCCTAGTGGACGAAGCCGTCTTTGCAGATCTGAAAAATTGACTTGTTCTGGTTTGTTATGCTGCGTTCCAGTTGTACTCGGAAGTCGGGATTTCGAAGCTCCGAACGCCCCCCTGAAGTCAGGTTTCCGACTCGGAAAGTGGGACGATCCTCGCCAAGCCTGACTTGACGACAACGTCATAATTCAAGATGGCAGCGAAGTGCATCGACAGTAAAGAGTAACAGTAGAAGGGGCACTTCCTGCCTCTTGAGTTCCGCACAAGCGTGTGGAAGGGCAGGGACCCAGAACAGAACTACGCCGCCAAATTTAACTTCGACAAAGTGATCGTGACTGAACTGGGGCCTGTTCTACGAAGCAAGTTCAACCGAGCGAGGTAGCCTTGGAGCTAAACGGTCTTACGACGCTTGTTATCAACCTTGTGAGCGGATCCAGCTTTGCTATGAGCGCATGCACGCATGTACTTAACCTGCCCCGGAGCAGGTGAGCTGTTCAGCGTACGTTGCCATGGAGACTCGCCTCGCTAAGAAGTGTTCCCACGTCATAGAACAGGAAACCCTGAACTTACCCTGGAAGTTACCTCGCTAAGCAGTAATCCTGCTTCGTAGAACAGGCCCCTGGTATCGCTAACAGCTAACAACAGCTGACAATTATAAACAACAAATAACAACGGGTACTTGTTTACTAGAACGCCGTCAACTCGGGTTTAACGTCATTCCCAACTCCGACATCCGACTTCCGAGGTAACTAGAACATAGCAATAGTCTTCTGTCATTTTTTAACTACGACCTCTAACCCTGAAATGAGGATTTATGACGTTAGGATTTCACTCGTGTTTTTAATCCCTGATTGTGATTTCATGAAGTCCAGATAAGATGACGTTTGTCCTGTTAAAGTGAATGTTTGAACGTACAAGAAGAGGGTAAACTTCAGGACAGTCCCTGCAGAGATTTTCCCTCTTCGTTCGCACGGCTGTCCTTCCTTAGTGTGGGAAACTTTCACAGCATGGCATCAATCAGTCGTCTCTTAAAAAGCAGAAATTTAAGCCCAGGGTTTAAAGATTTACGACCAAACTCTCAATGCCAGGACTGTTATTGTAGTGCATTTCAAGTTAAAAGCTTTTAAGACGTCGTTCTGTAAATCAAAATGTTGGAGGTACAAGAAGATTAAAGCTTGGAGACCGTTTACAACACTTTTGAGTTCCCTTAATTAAAATCATCTCCATTCTGAAACACAAGAGCAGACATTGAGCAACGTTTGCCCGCTGCTTCGACATCCTGAAGTGATTATCTCGCAGTAATCTCTCCGAATTTAAACAATTACACAAGCCTTCAAAAATACAGGAGAGAGAGAGAGAGAACTTCTTCAGACTGTGACCCCCTCAGCTCTGAATTTGGAGGCGGTCACAGGTGAGCTGCTCCCTCCGACCGGAGGTGTGACGGCGGCTCTCCTACCTCTTTCGGCGACAGTATGGAGATGTAGTCCTCGTAGATGACGCGTGCTTTCTCCTCGACGGAGTTCTTGTTAATTTCCTGTTTGAGGTCTTCACAGGCGAGCCAGAACAGCATGTTCTCCTCGCTGTACTCAGTCCTTAGAAACTCCCGGAAAACGTTTCGACCCGCCGGGTTTTTCATCAGCTTGTCGAAGGATTGGGACCACAGGCGCATCTCCTCCACGGAGGGTTTGGTGCTGAGGGAGGAGGAGTTTGAGGCAGTTTAGTTTCTGTTTTAGTACATTCACTTCTTTAAAGTTAAAGTAAGCTCCTGTGTCGACTTTGGCGCCCCCTGTGGTCAAAGTAAACCCTCTTATTGTTGCTGATCCAAAGCTCTAACCCCCAATTTCAACGGCATCCTGAACGGCTACGAAAAGGCCGTTTCCACCGATCACAGCTGATCGTAACCATTCAAGTTAACGTGTCAATTTCCACCGGCTTCTTTCCGTTCCGCTGTGGATCACTGTTTCTATTTTTTCTGGACGCCAGAGCACGCCGGATAAATTCAGCACAGATTAACCCGTGCTGGAAAGGAGGCGGAGATGAACAAGTGAAAGGTTTTTAGACGTCATTTCACCCCGATGACACCATAAATGAGGAGATGCTGATTCTAGAAGTCTAGAAGTAGATTTCCTCCTCTGGAAGGACACAATCTACTGTTTATATGTCTATGTGTCTGTCTTTAGAGAGACAACTAGTTATCGCGCGATTGAACGTGAATCCGCGGGTTCTTGGGACTTCTTGCTGTCCCTTATCCATTTCTAAATTCGCCTCATAAATGGATCCGGTAGGAATTTGCGGATGGCAAAAATCGATGGCGGTGAAAATTGGGGGTTAGAGTAGCTGTAATAGCAGTATTCCACATGTTTCAGTGTGAACTGTGTGTGTGTGTGTGTGTGTGTGTGTGTGTGTGTGTGTGTGTGTGTGTCTCACCAAGCTTCACAGTTTGGTATGGTTTCCATCTTGGTGTCCTGTGATATTCTCTTCCTCCTGCTCCGCCGCCGCCTCTCCTCTTCATTCCTGACGGTGAGACTGACATGATAAGGCGGCTTTCAGACAGGAAACACTCACACACACACACTCTCTCACACACACACACTCACACTCACACACACTTAACCACAGCTTATAGGATAGTAATTACTGTCAGAACCATAAAAACACATTTAATCACCCACAATGATGTTACTACCCCGTTTAAAGGCGACTCTAACCACAGCTATGATTACAGATTAGAGCAGCGGCTACAGGTGTCTCTGAGTCTGTGTGTGTGTGTGTGTGTGTGTGTGTGTGTGTGTGTGTGTTAAATGCACGTGTGTAACGAAAAAAGAGAGGGCTATAAATACTGAGTCCTCCTGTGGGGACCGTACTGACCCCGTCCCAGCGAGGCTACTGTCTGCAGACTGAGAGAGAGAGAGAGAGAGAGAGAGAGAGCAGCTCCGTCTACTGTACTCCTCTGTGTGTGCGGCAGATTTCAGGAAGCTCACACACACACACACACACTCACACACTCACACACTCACACACGTTCTCATTTCGTCCTTAAATAAAGGATGGCACATTACGACCCGCAGTCATACGAGAAGATGAATGAGGACGAAGATAAGGAGAACGCCGTGTGTGTCGTCTTTTTTACAGCGCAGATCTGCTCGGCGAGTGTGTGTTTGCTTTCATTAGGAGTGTATGCTGGTGTCTGAGTGTGTGTGTGTGTGTGTGTGTGTGTGTGTTCTCCTACCAGGAGCAGCTGCAGCAGCAGCACCAGCAGAAGCAGCAGGCGTTCGGCCGTTGGGAATTCTGAGTAGTGGTCGTCATGCCCCGCCCCCCTCCCCCTCCTCCTCCTCCGCTCAGTGCTGAGGTCTCGCTGCGACCTCCCCCCATGGCCACCTCGCCCCCTCGCTCGGCCGGGATCGGACCTGTGTACTACGAAGAAAGAGAGAGAATTAAATTAATGGTATGATGGAATAAGTTTGTGTCATTTTTGGCGCCCCCTATGGACAAATTCTTCTTTGCTAATTTTGACCTCTCAGGGCTCAACAGTGCGACTAAAAATAGATGTGTGCGAATAATAAAATGTATTTAGGGTCACGTGTGCGCTTACAAAAAAATCAGCTGAGGCAACAAATTAGGGATGAGCGCAGTTATTCGGATATTCGTGTAAACGTGGCCGTCCTTACTATCCGCTTAGTAAATAATAATCGTTTATTCTATAAAAAAAAAAAAAAGAAAGAAAAAAGCGAAAAAAAGCTTATTTTTTAAAAGCATGGCTTTCATGTACTCTTAATATTTATTTCAGATGATATCTCTCCATATAGATCGAGATTTGCTCGATTTGGGCTTTTTTCTGGGAGTTAATTAACTTTTGTGTATTCCAATATTCAGTTTCAAAATGGTCGTTTAAACCTCAGTGAATTTAACCGCTGGGAACATCCCTACAACAAATGTTTTGGGTTTTTTTTCCTGTAAATACGGCGGTGAAGTTAGTTTTAGGTTGGATATCTGATGGACATTCACTGCCGATCTACTGGTGTCTTCTCGCTCTCTATTACCAGGAATAATGACAACACTGCGGTAAAAATCGGGTGTTGAATAAGGGGCCGTCAATAAATTACTGGTTGATGTTCTCAGAAAAGGCTGTTTTCCTTTAATGTCATGTGACCAAAAGACCTAAAATTGATTTCTAATAATCGTACAAGTTCGGACAATAAGACACACCTCTTTAATTCACTCATTTGTCCTCCTAACATTTTTTTTTGTGTTAAATTTAAAGGCAAATTTTGAACATTTCCTTCAATAGCTTCCATGTCATGTGACCAAAAGACCTAAAATTGATTTCAAATAAAAGTACTAAGGTCGGACGATAAGACAAACATTATTTCAACTTTCATTGTGCCTCTAAAGTTCTTAGTGGGCTCCTTATTTTTACAACCTAGGAGCATATGTGAAGTCATGAGTAGGCATTAATACAAGTATCAGTCTGTCTTTATACGAGGAGAAGCTCAGACTTCTCAGTAAAACCAGAACAGTCAGATCTCTTAAAGAAACTCGATTCTTCTTTATCAAACACAAAGACATGAACACGAGTTTCCTTCTCCTCCTGGAAACGACACACAGAGAAACTCACAGCAGCGACAGTGTTGGACGAGAGGCTAAAAATTGTCTTCACGTGATCGCGGCGCTGTGTTTACTGTCATCATACAGAGGTAGTGCGGTTAATAAGACGCTCGTGTGTGCGTGTGGTGGTGTTTGAAAATACGACACAGAGCCTGTTTGTCTGTCAGGGTGATTGATGGCGAGTTCACAGCGAAGGAGCTCCAGTCAAATAATGCAAATATTATCCTGCCTGTGATGGTTTTGTTTGGAGATGATAAAAATTTTATTTTATTTACTTCTAAGAACATAAAAGTGTCGACTCAGCAGTTTGACACTCGGATTAAGACATGCTGCCAATGAATCTGACATGATAGTTAAGTTCATATTCTAAGAAGTTCAAACAGGAGGAGTGAAAAAAGAAGATATGAGACAGCCTGCCTGAACTAACACTAACACTGTACGATTGATGAATTTTAAACCGTAATCAGATTATTCGACTATAACCATGTTAAAAACGATTAAAATCATTAAATCAATTTTCCTCTCTGGGAAAAGGGAACGCTCCCCAGTGTAAACAAACAAGGCGTTCGAAAAAGAAGGCGATAATTTCGTGGTTAAATAGGACAAGAGAAAGTCAGTCGTGTGGAATTGGCCGCAAAGTCTGTCTGAAGGCGGTATCAACCCGTCCACAAAGAAACGAATTTAGGAGTACCTTATTTTTCACACTATAAGGCGCACCGTCAATGAACGCCTCTTTTGGCGCCTATTTTCATACATAAGGCGCACCAGATTATAAAGCGCATTAAACCAAACAAAACAGTCCGATAAGTCAAACTGTATTTAACTCATACAATAACAATAGCTGCAGCACGCCGACAAGCCAAAAGGATTTTAAGTGCGCCTTATAGTGCAAGAAATACGGTAAACGCCAATTTTTTTGTCGTATTGGCGTTTTATCCATGGTACTTTTTGAAAAAGGGTCAGAGAGTGACAACGACCATTTCATCTCCGTGTGGATGTCTATCTGTATCTCTGTAAACGATCATGTGACACGCGGTGTAACTCTTTTATGTCGCCAAAACAACCTTTATACTCATGCTCTGTACTCTTCTTTTGTCTTTTGTGCATTTCCTCAGCAGCGTTACAGCGCCACTTACTGTCATGGCATATGCACTACATTGTTTTCTGTGGTTTCCTTTTGAGAGACGATAGAAAAACTTTTTAATAAAGTGAAGTTTGGTGAATTTGTCACTGAGTTAAAAATCAAGAATCGAGTTCTCAGAGAAAAAAACAACAGGATTTTATCTTTGGCGAAGATCGTGCAGCTCATCCAGAACCAGATTCCTGAATGGATGATACCGACGAAAACCTGTCGTCAAAAATATCAACTGATAGAAAACCACGGAGAGCAGAAAGTGTTAAAGGTGAAGAGAGAGAGAGAGGGGGAGGCAGTGGCCGAATAGAGGAAGTAAGAGAGAGCGGGTATGAAGACAGATCAGGCAATGTGATGCATCATGTGATAAAGCTGTGATCGCACACAAACACACACAAGGACGATCACATGTACACACAGTTTTCACAACTCTGGCCTCTGTGGCAACAAGAGTGCCTGATTTGTGGGGCTTTTTTTTTTCTGCGTCGCACTCACACCCGTCTTTTTTTTTTTATGTTTGAAACTTCGCCTCCTGTTCGTGTTTAATCTGTTTAGAGCTTTGCACATCGTGGACTGAGAAGATATAATCCAGAGATAATATCAAAGAGTCTATTTATAACTCAGGACGTATGGGCCTGAAACAGACAGTCGCTGTGTGCACAGACTGTACCTCAGAGCACGTGTGTCGACATAAAGCACAAACATGAGAGGAGAAGAAGCCGATTCAGAGCCGCAAACTCGAAAACACCAGCAGTTAGGAGTCGAGCGCAGCTAAGCTAATGTTCCCCTGCAGCTGTCTGAGTCTGCCTGTGTGTCCGTGTGTGTGTGAGAGTGTGTGAGAGAGTGTGTTAGTGTGTCTGGGTTTGAATGCCAACGCACCAAAGCGTGCCAGTGCGGCTGGTGTGGGCAGTGACACGGTTTATTTGTGAAAGACATGAGTGACATGAGGGGAAGTCGTGGAACCAGAAGCAGATTTACAAACAAACAAACAGGTGAGTTCAAAACTTCACCAAAGTCACTCGGACTGAGAGGAGAAGACAAATAATTTTAACAGGGGACGTCTTCTCAGGACGAAGAACAGTGACATTTTGGCAAACCCCTCCTGCTGCCAGCTCCCCGCCTTTATAACCTCCTGACTGCTGATCTGCTTCAGCTGTGCTCAGCAGGTGCTCCATGATCGGTGACACACAGGTGTGCCGCTTCTGTGGTCACCGGGGGAGGGGCGAACCAAAAAACAATCACAAACCAGAACAAATCAGAAGAGAAATCCACTCATAGAGGTGAAGTGAGAATATATCTTCAGTGAGATAAAGCTTTATGAAAGAAGGTCACTGCAAAAAAGGAGGAAAATATCAGACAAATTTAGGGAAAGTTGCAAAGAAAACTGCTAAAAGTTTTGGTTTTCCCCTGAGATGAAAACTATTACAACAAATTTTAACGATTAGATAAAGACGCAAAAAGAGACAAGACTACACAAGGTTAATTTTGATAGTTTTTTGGGTCAGATCGAGTGTCTTTTATGGGCGTCTAACTCACTAACTCCACGTGACTCAAAATCAAAACATTTGAGGATTTTATAAACTCTCTCCGGACAAAGCCGGACAGCCCCCAGAATAGAGGACATGTCCGGGTAAAAGAGGACGTATGGTCACCCTATTTTAGGCAGAGTAGGGCTGGGCGATAAAACAAAAACTTACAATATTGTGTTGTTGTCGTGTTATCTCCATGGAAACACATCAGATCTTTAAATGAGCGATGGATTTACGCCTGTGATTTCACGGCTCAAACACTTGAACTTGACCCTGATGCCATCACTTCCTTAAATGTGAGTTTCCTTTAGAGATCACAGAGAAGAAGACGACAAACAGCTGCCCGACTCTATCCGTATGACATATTAGGCTTTAAAGGGCGACTCCGCAGACTTTTTCTGTCACTTTAGAGCAAACAATGATGACAAGTAAGAGTGACTCCTCAGCAGCAAGCTCTCATCCTCTCAAACACTGGAGCTGAAATTCAGGATGAAAACATGAAACCAGTTTTGTTGTTAAAAATGATTTTACTCTGACTTTAATTTTGTTTCTCTGTAGAGGTGTGTTTAAGTGAGGGAGCCGACTGTAGTGCTGCTGATGGATGCACACACACTCTTTCACACACACACTGACACACACATACACCGCCCTAAAGTCGGTTAAGCTGCACCGTCAAAGAGGAAGAACAGAGGAAGAGAAGAACACTCCCTTTCTCTTTTTATCTGCCGCCAAATCTTTTATCACCCAGAGCTATCACATTTCTGTGTGTGTGTGTGTGTGTGTGTGTGTGTGTGTGTGTGCTGGTGTGAAAGAGTGGGTGTGTGTGTGTCAAAGAGTGTGTGAAAGTGTGAGGGACAATGTGTGTGTGTACAAAAAGGCAAGCGGATACAAGTTCATGTAAAGTCAGACTTACGATAATTATATTTGAACATGAGAGACTGATCAGAGGTGAATAAACGAGGGAGAGAGAGAGAGAGAAAGAAGAGAGGAAGAAAAGAAGGGAAAGGGAAAGAAAGAAGAAAGAAAGTATGAAATAAAGAAAGATAGACAGAAAGAAGTAAGAAAGAAAGACAGAAAGAGAGAAAAAAGAAAGAAAAGGAAATAAATATAAAAATAAATTAAGAGAGAAACAAAGAGAAAAAGAAAGAAAGAAAGAAAGAAGGAAAGAGAGAAAGAAAGAATGAATGAAAAAGAGAGAAAAAAGAAGGAAAGAAAGAAATAAGAGAAAAAACAGAGAGAAAAGAGAAAAAAAAAACGTGTGTCCTCAGTTCGTTTGGAGCAGATGTATCACTTCCTCTTCTGTTTCGTTCATGTGCATCTTAGTGTGTGTGTGTGTGTGTGTGTGTGTGTGTGTGTTGAGGACATGATTCAGTTAGTGTGTGTGTGAGCTAACACACACACACTCTCTGAAGCTGAAGCTCTTTCCTCTCTGTTCTTTTTTCTGACATGTCTTTATCCTGCTCGGCTGACAGAATACACATGCTGTTTCTACACACACACACACACACACACACACACACACACACACACACACACACACACAGAAAACTAAAATAGACGAGAAGACTTCCGGCGTGATCACCTCCATCTATCGGCGTCTCTTGCTGCACGCCGCTTTAGCGGCACAGATGGACTCAGACTCGACGCCAAGAAGGAGCAAAGTGAGATTCAGAGGGTCTTTGTGTACCGCTCCATCATCTGACAACACACACACACACACACACACACACACACACGTACACAGCTGCACCTGCCGGCGGGCTTAAGTAATTAAGCGCTCATTTTATGTATTAATCTGAGAGATTACTGCTCTGTAATCTCGACAGCCAATCGAAAAAGAGCTCTGGGTGTGTGTCAGTGTGAGAGAGGTGGGGAGGTCATGATGGAGAGAGAGAGAGAGAGAGAGAGAGAGAGAGACAGAGAGAGAGAGAGAGAGGTTTGAGGACTCTGATCAGCTGTTTCGAGGTGATCACAGATCTGGTGGAATTCAGGAGCAAACCTTCATCACATGTTTTCACATCAGACTTTAGGCCCAGAAACTAGGATCCACCATGTCGGATTGTTAGTGACTAGCGGCAGTGAACGCCAGCTCTGCTAGCGAGCGCCGTCTGCAGCTGCCTGGACAACTACAGTGTTGACATGTCAGAGACTAATCAGAGTTATTTATGTAACATGAGCCACGATAAAAGGAGATAAAAATGACCTGTTCAACAAAAACTCTGCTGTCTCAGCGTCTTCTGTCAGTTTGCGTTTTCTTCCCACTTTTGGCGGTGGGGCGAGCAGAAGTGTCTTTTTTTTTCTGCGTCCTTCTGCATCACAGCTCCTGTAGCTAAGCTGCTACGCTACTTTTAGAGTGGGAGGGGACGAGTCGGAACTATGGGAGAGGGGTGTGTCAAACAAAGCGAGGTGATTGGATGGAGAGGCGAGATTTACAAACAGGAGCTGTCTGGGATGAGATTTTTTTTGTTTTTGTAGGACGGTAGGGTAAAGTCCCGCCTCCTTCACCTCTGATTG